TTGCGGAGCGGCCAGGTGCGGTAGCAGGTGCCCGAAGCCATACCAATAAACCAGGTGGGAAGTTTGGAGCCAAACGGTCCCCAGTCTGGCGGGATTGCTGCTGCCACTGGTCCTCTGTAGAAAAAGAGCGGGCAAGCTGGCGGCATTCTTCAGCATGTTGGACAGCTTCGGACAGAGTTGTACTTTCGGACTCATAAGGTTTATATGGGAGAATAGTGTCTACTGTATTTGAAGGTTCTCGTCCGTATGGAAGAAAGTATGGCGAAAACCCAGTAGTAGCTTGTACGGCAGTATTATACGCGTAGGTGACGAACGGGAGAACTTAGTCCCGATTTGAATGATCAGTGGCGACGTACATCGACAGCATATTGCCAAGAGTACGGTTGAAGCGCTCCGTCATGCCATTCGTTTGAGGGTGGTACGCTGTACTTGTGCGGTGCACGATTCGGCATTCGTTGAGTAATGTCTTCAAGGCGTCAGAAAGGAAGGCACGGCCTCTGTCACTTAAGAGCTCGCGAGGGGCACCATGACGTAGAATGAAACGTTGCAACAGAAACGTTCCAACGTCACGGGCTGTGGCAGTCGGCAGCGCGGCTGTTTCGGCATAGCGTGTCAGATGGTCTATCACAACAATAATCCAGCGATTACCAGCTAGAGTTGATGGTAGTGGTCCGTAAATGTCAATGCCGACGCGATCAAAAGGTCGACTAGGACAACGAAGAGGTTGTGACGGGTAGACTTGCCCGGGAGGTAACTTTTGTCATTGGCACTGAGCACACGAGCGAATGAATTTCTGCATGTAGTTATACATGCCACGCCAATAAAATCTTAGTCGAAGCCTAGCATATGTCTTGAAGAGGCCTGCGTGGGCGCACTGTGGGTTTGCGTGAAAAGCTTGGCAGATAGCAGCTCGAAGATGGCGGGGCATCACAAGGAGACACTTACGACCGTCAGAAAGGTAGTTGTGTCGATAAAGAAGATCATCCCTTAGGCAAAAGTTGCTAGCCTGGTGGCGGAGAGCGCGAGACGGCGAAGGAGTGAGAGGATCAGAAAGAATGCTTATGAGGCCACTGATCCAGGGATCCTTTGGTTGTTCCACGGTCATGTTGCGCAAGGCGGATGACGCAAGTGAAGGCTCGAGGGAAGAGAGGCAAACACCGTCATTCGATATGGGTGAGCGAGAAAAGGCGTCGGCGTCCGTGTGCTTACGACCGGATCTGTAAGTAACGCGGATGTCGTATTCCTGAAGTTTGAGCGCCCAGCGAGCAAGTCGTCCGGAAGGGTCTTCAAGTGTGGATAGCCAACAAAGGGCGTGGTGGTCAGTGACGACGTCGAATGCGTGACCATACAGGTAGGGGCGAAATTTTCCAAGGGCCCAAATAATAGCTAAACGCTCTTTTTCAGTCACGGAGTAGTTAGCTTCGGCTTTTGTCAAAGTTCGGCTTGCGTAGGCGACGACATATTGATCAAACCCTGCCTTTCGTTGCGCGAGCACAGCGCCAAGTCCAACACTGCTGGCATCAGTATGAACCTCCGTGGGAGCGGCAGGATCGTAGTGGCAGAGGATGGGTGGTGAAGTTAGCAGGCGGTGTAGTTAGGTGAACGCATCGTCGCATGCTGATGACCAGGTGGAAAGGTCCTTGTCGCCGCTAAGAAGGTCCGTAAGGGGCGCACATACGGAAGCGAAATTTCTAATAAAGCGTTGGAAGTATGACGACAAGCCGACAAAACTTCTAAGTTTCTTTAAGTTCTTTGGATTGGAAAATCGGCGACTGCTCGAAGCTTGGCGGGGTCGGGAAGTATGCCGTCCCGCGATACGACGTGACCAAGAATGGTGAGCTGCCGGGCACCGAAACGACACTTCTTGAGGTTGAGTTGAAGGCCGGCGTCGGTGAGGCGTGTGAGGACGTGCTCGAGACGATTTAAATGGGTGTCGAAATCGGTGGGAAAGACAACTACGTCATCGCGGTAGCATAAACATAGTGTTCCACTTGAGGCCTCGTAAAATAGTGTCCATCATTCTTTCAAAAGTGGCTGGAGCGTTACAAAGGCCGAAAGGCATAACGGTAAATTCGTATAATCCATCAGGCATGACAAATGCTGTTTTCGGTCGGTCAGATGCTTCCATAGGTACTTGCCAGTATCCAGACCGTAAATCCAGCGAAGAGAAGTATTCTGCTCCCTGCAAACAGTCAAGGGCGTCGTCTATTCGGGGTAACGGGTAAACGTCCCTACGGGTGATCTTGTTTAAACGTCGATATTCCACACAGAATCGAAAGGAGCCGTCCTTCTTCTTAACAAGAACGACCGGTGACACCGAGGGACTGTTAGAAGGCTGTACAATACCCCGCTGGAGCATGTCAGCAACCTGGTCGTCAATAACACGGCGCTCCGATGCTGAGACTCGGTAGGGCGCTGCCGTAGAGGCGTATGGCTTCCTGTGTCAATCTTGTGAGATATGTTCGATGTGCGACTGAGGCCAGAAGCGTGGCTGTCAAAAGAAGCACGAAATTTTTGCAGCTGGTTCTCCAACTGGCTTCGTTCTGAAGAAGACGCTGTGACATCGATGGAGCGGTGGAAAGCGTCAAGGTGTGACTGGTCAACAGCATAGTCAGAAATGAGTGCGCTGAGGTCCGTAGAAAGTAAACTAGATGGAGCGTCAAAAATGTGTTGGGCATCGATCTGATGCACGTGACCGAGACATTCACCATAGAATAAAGGTAAAGGCTGTTCTAGCGTATTGTACACGAGCGTCTTCGTGACGCCATGGTGGAGAGTAAGGAGAGCAATTGAGCAGTGGAGAACATTTGCATTGAATGAACAGGGCAGAGGGCCTAAATAGAACATCACCGTCGAAAATAGCGTCACACGACACAGTCACCAGCAGAGAAGAGCGCGGTGGTACGGTGGTGTCGTCGGAAACAGCACAGTTTATAATATGGCAGAGAGGCTTCGACAGCGTCAACATCAGGAAGTGCAGATAGCTCAAGTTCAGCGCGACAGCAGTCAAGGACAGCATTATTATTCGCAAGGAAGTCCCAGCCGAGTATCATGTCATGGGAACACGAGGGCAGCACTACGAATTCGACGATATACACAATCCCTTCGATGACGACTTGTGTGGTACAGGCTGCGAGAGGTGTTACACTTTGTGCGTTAGCCGTTCAAAGAGAGAGGCCGTATAATGGCGTCAGGACTTTGCGGAGTTTGTGGCACAGGTTGATGGAAAGGACGGATAGAGCGGCTCCGGTGTCGACAAGCGTCATGAAGATGATACCATCGAGTGACACTTCAATGACGTTAGCTGGACAGGGACGAGGACTTGTGCATGGCGACGGGGACGCAGTTCGTGCCTCGGGAACTGCGGCCGTTAGTTTTCCTGGTCGGTGGGTCCGGAACAGCGACGCATAGGGGAAAGCGAACGTCGACGTGGAGATGGGGAGCGGCGGGTGGGACCATGTGGACGATCAGAAGGAAAGGAAGAGGAAGGAGGGCTTGAAGGGGTAGAAGAAAACTGAGGGTCGAAAGAGGGCATTCGTCGAATGTTCTGAGCAGCCAGGCGACGACGACAATAACGTGCCACGTGGCCAACACCGCCACAAGCAAAACATATCGGACGGTTGTCGTGGGTCCGCCATTGGTCGGAGTAGACTCCGACTTGCGGCTGGGGGGCAGAAAACTGCGGCCGAGGTGGTATCGGCATAGGCGGCGGTGAATAAGTCGGCGGCGAAAAGGGCGGCGACGAATACATAGGCGCTGGCTGGAACGCAAGCTGTTGAGGTCGAGCAACGGCCTCGGCGTACGTGAGAGGTGCGGCGACTGGTGGTGGTTCACGGGCGAGAGGAAGAACTTGTGCGACCTGGTCTTGAATGAAGTCGTGGAGTGTAGACGTCAATCTGCGTGGTCGATCGGGTACGCAGGACATCAAAGAGAGCTGACGAGCGACCTCAGCGTGGATGAACTCTTGGATCTTTGAGAGAAGAGGGGCATGGTCTTCTCCTAAGCTAAGGGTGGACAGGCTGGACAAAGAGTCGTCGAGCAACGAGGGACGTCGGGTGGAAAGACGTTGCCTGCGGAACTCGGCAAAACTCCGGCATAACTCGGTCAGTTCTAGGACAGTGTGAGGACTCTTAGAAAGCAACATTTGGAAAGCGTCGTCCTCAATGCCTTTCATGATGTGCTTGATCTTAAGCTCTTCAGACATCGACTCGTTGACTCGCTTTTAAAGGTCCAGAACATCCTCAATATAGCTTGTGAAATTCTCACCAAGCTGCTGGGACCGAGTATGCAAGCGTTGTCCGGCACGGCGTTTGCGTACCTCAGGCCGTCCGAAAACTTGTGTGAGGCTCGTTTTGAAGACCGACCATATAGGGAGTTCCGCTTCGTGGTTTATAAACCACAGCTTGGCCACATCCGACAGGTAGAAGGAGACGTAGGCCGACTTGGCGGCGTCATCCTATTTGTTGTGAGTACTCACTCGCTCGTACATTAAAATCCAGTCGTCAACGTCCTTTTCTTCTGTGCCTGAGAAAACAGGGGGATCTCGCAGACACAGGGAACCGGCACAGAAAACAGTACGCGATGCCAGTGGAGGAGTTGGAGCGGCGCTTGCGTCGGTAGGCATAATGGATGGTAAAATGCGATTTCGAAGCTTCAGGGTGATCGAAACACAGCAGACTCCACCACTTGTAACGGGGTTTATTTGCAGAGCAGAACGCAGAAGGCGAAGCAGTCAGCAGCGTCCGGCCAAGCGCAGCAAGCACGAGCTTATGCTCATGGTGATGCCCCTGAGGCGCCGAGAAATGCCGCTGAGGCCCCTCTTCTTCACTACAGGGCTGAATTGTTACTGGGGGATCAATAACTACGCTTTGACACAGAAAACACTACATGCGTCAAGTTGATGCCCCTGCTTTTTAAAGACTTTCTTCCATTCTTTCTTGTTGAAATCATATATGGTTCTCTCCCATCCAGTTAAGAATTATTTTAAATATCTTTTTCAGGACATGAGTGTCGACGTCAAGGTAGAGCCGAGGAGCCCTACAGCTACACCACCTCCAGTAAGTGAAGAACATATTTTTTTTTTTCATTTTCATGTTTCTTATTTTTAGGCAATGGCTGGTTGAACTTGGAGGGCCACTCACCAGGCCCCATACCAAATTTTACTTAGACAGTGGAAGTTGTTGAGTGTCCGATAAAGAACATTTTGCCACAACAATTTTTTGAATACGTTCATCACGAACGGAGCAAACGGGTTTTTTGAAGCGGCACGAAACGAGGATAAGAGGAGGCGAGCTCGAAACTTTTGCCGCTCCTCCACGTAGCCTTCGCAAGCCAAACCTCTTCCCCATCTTCTCAGGCATCCGACCAAGAGGTCGAGTGCGCATGACGGGCCCAAACAAGTCCAACCACCGAGCACGTGAGCGGCATCGCTTTGTCGACCACCGTTTTTTGTGGTCTTCTGCCTGTTTCTGTGGTATGGTTCGGAAACGCTGGCTTAGACACGATGGAATAGATATGCACAATAAGTGCGCGAACGCATAGGAGTTTTCCAGGGCGGTCGTCTGCTCGGTGCGCTGACTGCGGGGACACAAACGCATGTGAAACGCCGACACATTAGCCCCACATTTCTTTGTAATTCATCGGAGAAAAATGGAAAAAAAGACACTCACATTTTCTTATTGCATCTCATAATTTATCTCGAGCTTTATTAATCTCTTCAAGCAACAAATTACATAAACTACACATGCTGTGTTCAATAATTTTTGCCATGTCATGTGCCACTGCTTGCAACGTCAGAGCAGAGTCGTCTGCGTAGAGGACCAACGTCACTGCATCGCCATGTACTTAGGGTCATTCATACGCGCATATCATGCCCTCATTTTCTAGGTGCGCGCCGGCAGAGGAGAGGGGGAGCAGCATTCATCTTGAAGTTTGACCCATTTCCGTGTCGCGTAGCATTGCAAATTTTGGCAAACGTGATCATGTACGCCTGGTCTACGCATTGCGCTTGTCAGCTCATAATTGTCAAACCTGGCGAGTGGCCCTTTAAGGTTCAAATCATGTTTATACAGCCTAACTAGGGTAAACTTGATATTCACAGGGTCTCTTAGGTATTACACTAAGATGGCTCAAATGCAAAATTCATCATTCTCAATGTGGTGTCACATTGCCTCGAGGAACGGAGGCACCTTACCCGGTTGTGCAGTGCCCCTGTGATTGGCACACCTTTGACCAAGCTGTGGCGTCATTTGATGACGTCATCATGTCAAATCATGTGATGTGGCATCTTAGGGACATCACGATCGCGAAGTTTTGGCCATCTGAGATGTCATAAACACTATAGAGTTTCATACAACAGTACCTAAAGCAATCTGGCTCTAGTGTCTACGCGGGCTCCTTCAGCAGCGCTTGTATCTCCATGGGAATTGTGGGAAGTACAGGCTTCAGATCCGGTTCAGATGGATTACGTTCTTGACATTCGCTATGCTTCCTTTCCGAGTGTAAAACAAAGTGATTTGAACTTATATTTAATTGAAACTTGCTTCAATTATTTACACCCAAACATTATTGTAAAAAGTTTTCGTGACCAAGGTGCAAAAGTGAAACATTGGCAAATTCAATCACTAGCATGTGCATTGCTGTGTCATTGCGTTACAGATTTGGCATCACAATTTAATGAATTATTTTTTACAACACTTGAAAACAAACATGCTTGTTTTTCTCTTATAAGTATGCATTATCTATTTATGGAAATAACAGTACAGTATTAAGTGAGAAACATCTTATCGTTTCGTCTTCTGCGACGCTAGGTGCGTCTGTCCCAGTGTCTGCCCCCAATGTACCTCTGGTTTTATTGTTAAGTCGAGTCAGCGGAGCATGACGGTGCATCTACTTAGTTTTCTCATCACTTTGCAGTCGATTTAAAACGAGTTTAGGCAAGACGCGCCCGTGCAAAACATGAACTCGAGGCAGTATCCTGCACAGGCATGAGACGCTACATCTATTCACAGTGGTGAGGGGACGACGCTTTGATTAAGCTCTCAAATACGGCTCGTAAATCTCCAATGTTGCAGCAAATCAAGAGACCTAGCTGTCTTCAGTCTCTTTGAACAACAAAGACGCTGCTTCAGTGCTTTGCACCCAATCCACTAGGCACGCTTCGCGAAGAACGAAACTGAAACTGTAGAAAAAAGTCTGTAGACAGTTCGCTAGCTAACCCTATCCAATCCGAAGCCTGTACTTCTCATAATTTCCATGGTGGTACACAATCGCAGCACCGAATTCCTCTCTAGTTATTATTGTATGAAACTTCATGGTTTTAAGGTTAATGACGTCTCAGAGGCAACGTTTATGACTATGCAGTTTCATGATCGAAAAAGTTGTCAGCATGAAATGTGGCATGTTTTAAATGTAAAGTCTTAAAGGGGGCACTGTGGAGAAAAAAACAAGATAAAAAAAACTCACCGGGTTCATAATGCCTTCAGCTGAGACAGGGGTGAGACACCTGCGCATACTGCACATTTTTGATACATTTCCGTTTTCTTGTGCCAAGCTGCTCCAAAAGCATAAAAATTGCGAAAATTGCGCTGAACTGCTCCAAAACGGCCTCGAAAGCTTGAATTTTGATGCTAACCTTAGCTTCAGTGGGGAGAAAAGGCCAAGTTAGACTAGTAAGATGCACCCAATCGTGTTTTTTTACGTTGCACCTTTTTTGGTGATAAAGGCTCTCATGGTACTGCCATACTCACCTTTAAACTGTTGGAAATATGCGTGACCCCGCGAAAATGTGCTGCCGTGCTTTGAGCGTGCGGCTTCTACTAGCTAAGTTGCGTGTTCTGGTGTGACTGTCGGCTAGCGAAAACCACCGAGTCGGGTGGCAAGCATAGCGGGGTTGGCTCTCGGGTTCTTTGTTAGGCGTAGCACGTCCCTCCGGTCGCTGCGGTTTTCATTTTTACGCTGCTGCGTGCGGTCACTTACGAGTACGCGTTTGTTGTGAGTGAGTAATTGTAAATGTGGAGGCATTTTACTGGATCCGACGAGTCTCCTGGATGCTCTGGTGCGAGCACATGGGTTCTCAAAATTGGTTCCATGAGCAGCAGAATGTAGTGCAACCCACTCTCGTTTTATGCCTATTAGCTACTAATTTATTTAGACAAGCGAGTTCTCATTGCATTTTGCATTTAAAAAGTCTTCGCGCACGAAGCCCGCAGATGGGTGTCTGCAGGTGTAGAGACAGTCGTGGTGACAAAACGCGTATTCAAATCATTGTGAACGATATTACCAGGGACCTGGGCGCTTTATTCGTGACTCATTACGCATTGGCGATCACTTGGCACAGTATTATGAATGTTGATTTTCCATTGCTCCGTTTTGTAATCGAAACCCCCAACAAGCGCTTTAAGAGGCGTCCCTTGCGTACCGGTCCTGGGCTACACGAGCTTTAGGCTTATCTTGATTGGTGTTTCGGTCAGCGGCAGTGCAACTTTGTCTTCATTCGTTTCTTCTTTTTTTTGCAATAAAACCTGGCAAGACACCTCTACGTAGTACGGCGGTTCGTTTGCGTGGACCCGGATTTTCTTACCTGGCTGCACGAGCGCTTACGTGAGTCGCGGAGCGGCGTGGGCGGCAATCGCAAATCGATGTAATATCGGGAGTTTTACATCAAACGCGATGACCTATAAATATTAAAAAAATATAGAACTGGCCAACGTGTGCTGTATTAATACTGTGTGGTTGCTCACATGGAGAAGCATTATCAGTATCATTTGCTATCACTTATGGCAAATTCCACTGGTCGATCCGAAGCAGACGCCGAAGTCCTGGAGCGAGCACTTGGATTGTGCCAAGCCAGATCTGCGAGTGGAACATGTAAACGCCCCGGTTGAGGTCGCTCCGAAAGTAGTTCACACATACGTCACTAAACCGGCACCCGAAACGTCCTCGACGTAGCCGATTATTTTTGGCCGTGCACACGGTGGGCCAGGAAATATTTCATTTTACATCATTTCGTATAGCACATACTGTTCGTCATCCTCGCTGTTGTTATTTATCCTCTTGCTGTCGCTCAAAGGGAGAAGCAGCACATCCAGCAGAGTCAAATGGCGCAATTTTAGAAATGTCAACAAGTGGACAGGGTGACTAGACACCGGCCCAAAAAAATAAAAGAAAAAAGAAACGCATAAGACAGCCTAGCTGCCGTCGAGCTGCCTGACGATACCGGAAATGACGGCAATGCATTTTCGGTGTTCCGGCAAAATCCGTCTCTGTAAGATGTAGCATGCGGAACGCTCCGTCGCGCAGTGGGTTGCTCCGAATCTGCCAATGGAAAACACGAAACATCCTCCAATTCTACCAGTGGAAAACATATTCTTGGAGAGACTGTTTTCAGAACAAATCTGTGCAGGATGAGGCCTCACTTCGATGACGTAGGCACTAACGTCAGGGACGCGGCGTGCGTGCAGCCTGCTGGCGTCTTTGGTAGGTGTTCTGTTGCGGCATGGTGGTCACTTTTCTTTCTTTTTTTTTTCTCTTTCTCTCTCACTTTCGAGCGCAGGTAGTTTGCTTCACGGTGTGCACTGGAGGCTTTTCTGCTCGGTTCGCGCTCGCGTGCAGCATGTGTTATCTCTTTCACTTGTGGCCAGAGGTGTGGAATGGGACAATGCACGAGCCTTTGACCGATAGAATGGGATCAAAAAGTACCTCCAAGGGCATCATCATGAAGACTGCTACTCCGACGGCTACCTGAAGTCAGACGATAAACTTTTGAGAGGTCACTGGCTGCCGTCAACAAGAGGTATGCTGTGCGGACCTCAAGAGACCTCACCAAGTCGTCTAAGTGTAAGGATATATCGATTGCGTCTTAATGTGTCTCTGTGCCCTTTGATTTAGCATTCAAAAGCTCAGTAGTAATTTCAACCTGGCAAAACAAGTTTAAGTTAGGGTTAGTGCAATATCAGAGAAATTATTAGACATTAGAGAAAATGCAGTATGCAAGCACACTACTAAGTACATCTTGAGGTACCCACGAGACAAAAATGTAACAGCATCTTTTCAAGAG